CAGAATAAAAATTCATTTTGAATCTACGCAATGATGCTATCTATTATTACCAATCGTCGCTCGAGCTTTCTCTTTCTCTTTATTTCTTTCTTCATTACGATCGTGCATTTTCCCTTTCGATATAAGAATTATGTCACGACGAAAGAGCGCGAAAATCAGAATTCTTTGAACTTTTAACGCACACACGTTAAAAACTCGGACAATTATCCGTGTATCCGGTCCTTTACTTCATCAATTGGATTACTTGGGATTCGAAAGAAGCCGTATATATTTCGCGATAGATATACGATAGAATTTCCCAATGATCTTTGTTGTTGCGCGAAAATATTCGGAGTTTGTTTCAACGATCTCGAGTTATATTAAGATTACGAATTAAATTCGATGAAACTTGGTATAACGCGTGTTAAACGTGGTGGTTACGTAAGGGGACGATAATATATTGGAATAGAAATTTTCCGATCGGACATTTTGCCGGGATATAATCGGATATAAATTATTAAAGTGGAAGAGCATAATGAAGCGTAATGAGGCAAAAATGCAAAACGTGGCAAAAACTTACGCAGTACGGGCGAAGAATGAATCGCGGCCGCCACGCAGTATGTGTCAGCATTGTTCTTAATCTTCTCTAAGTACCCTTAACCCAATTGAATTAGAAGGGCACACCCCCGCGGGCTCTGGAGTCGGTGTCGCTTGTATTTTCTTTTCGATTCTCTTTTCGTGCGTGAAACGCGAAGAGCGGGAGTGCGCGTTCCATTATCTTTCCGTCGTTTCGTTTTTTTTTTTTTTTTCATTCACTGTTCAACAGAATAAAAGAGAATAAACGCTTTGCTTTCATGTATTATATCCGAGAGATGAACAATATCGGTGTTTTCGGTGTTATCAAAATTCCGGAATAATTATCAATCTAGTTCCATTTTTTTGATACTGATCTACCGCTAATACGTACCGTTCATTGAATTAATTTTCTGCCTCACGCGCTAATCGTTATCATTACGTCCATCTCGCGGATACATCGCGCAGATTTTTTTTTTACTTCGATCCATTTATTTTTCCCTGTACTTTTTCTTCTTTCTTTCTTTTCTTTCCTTTTTTTTTTTTCTTTTTTTTTTGTCAATACAATAACACACACGACAAGTGAGTTTCTTTAAGAGAAGAGTAACGATTGTCGAGAAGACGAACGAACTTTCTAAAAAGATGTTGAGCGAGCAAGTGGATTGATCTACAGTGAAAAGATAAAATTCTGTCTAAAACTCATCCGATCATTTTGGGTTCGTGTCCTACCAGAACTCGCTAAATCTGCTGTGAAACGTGTTGAACGCAGGTGTATCTAAATACTTTTATCCGATAGGTGGCGACCTCGGAGGGAAACTGCTCTTCGTGTCATGATCGCGCGAGGGTGAAAGAGGAGAGAGAGAAAAA